ACGTGGCCAGGAGGGAGCCCGGCTCTGGAGCAGGAAGGAGGGGCCTGAGGCTGAGTGGCACCTCGTGCAGAGAGCTGTCTCTGGCTCCGCCTCTGTGTGCATCTGGCCCRGGGAGGCCCCTGGACCCATGCCCAGCTCCCTGCACCTGCATGCCCAGGTCTCTGGGACAGTTGCCATCTGCACAGGGAGCCCTGTCTGCACCTGAGGACCACCCACATCCTGCAGATGAGCTCGGAGGGCAGGGGCTCAGGCTCAGCATCTGTCACTACAGCCGTCCTGACCCTGGCCACCCTGCCTCCAGACACGGGGTGGGGGGGTGGGGGGTGCAGTTCCTCCACCATTTGGGAGAAGGGCAGCTGGCCCCACTGCAGACAAAGGCACAAGAATGGAGGGGCCAAGCAGGCCCGTCCTTGGCTTCCATCTCCTCCGGGGCCTCCTTCCTCCCTCCAGCCAGGTCCTTCCTCGGCCTTGGGTCAGTCAGGAACCGGCTGCACCCCTCCCCCACTCCGTCCAAGGTCCAGGGCRAGCCGGCAGCGTCCCCTGACCCTGAGCAGGGGGCAGGCCTCACTCCACTCCACTCCTGGGGTCCCTGCCTTAGGTCCTGAATTCGGGTCAGGGGCCTGGAGGTGACATCCCAAGACCATGAACAGGAGGGAAGGCCTGGAGGCCTGGGAGGTGGGTGGCCGCTGCCCCAGAGGGAGCGCAGGTGGGGAGGCGCGTCCCCTGCCCCCCAACCCGGTCATAGCCCCCAAGCCCCGCCCCCGGAGGCGGGGCTTGGCGACCGAGGTGGAACGCCTGGGGCCCAACTTGTAATTAAATGGCAGCGATTTTGACGTGGCAGGTGATCTTCTCGGGAAGCCTGGCTTTAAATTTAGCTTCCTCCCCAGCCAGCCCTTTGAAAAGGCTGCGCTCCTGGGAGACSGCATGAGTCATCGGCCGCCCGCCGCCCGGTGAGCAGCGGCGTCTGCGGGGGAGCGGGCCTCCGAAGGCAGGGGAATAGTAAATAAGGCCGGGAGGCCGGCGGCAGGTGCTCAGAAGTGGGGCAGGGGACTGTGGGGGAAAGCCAGCCGGGTGGCTGTGCCACTCCCTCCGGCCTCCAGGCCCAGCCCCCTGGACCCAGCACCGCCCTGCTGAAGGGTATGTGCGCGCCCTGGGCCGTGCGCCCCACTCCCGTGCGCCCCAGTCCCGCGGGTGCAGGGGGAGCTGGGAAGTGCTCCCCCAGCCCACAGAGAGCCTGGAGTCCCTGGGTGCCGTCTTATATGGCAAGAAGGGAAAATGCCCTTTGTCATAGGAACTGGGTTGAGGACGCAGAGGTGGGAGCTCAGCTGGGGTCCCTGGGTGGCCCAGGTGGTCACATGGACCCTCCTGAGGGAGGCAGAGGACTTGGACCCCAGGAAGCCCACAAAGAGGAGCAGAGGGCATGTGGAGACGCAGGCCTGGAAGACTACAGTGATGCCGCCACCAGCCAAGGACACTGGGGCCACCCACAGGAGCTGGAGGGCCAGGGGGGGGCCTCCCTAGACTCCCCGAGGAGCTGGCCCTGCAGAGAACCTGGGCCGGGGGACTGGCGATGGCCTCCTGCCTCCAGAACCGTGAGGGGTAAACTCCCGTCTGTTTAGGCTCCAAGTTCACCTGGTCACGTGGTCACGTTCGCCCAGCCCTGGGGCACCAGTRTACAGAGGCTGGGAAAAGGGAACCCAGCCCACGGTCACCTGCCCACAGTCACCTGGTGAGTGGCCAGGGGAAGATTCACACCCAAACTCACCAGGTCCAAAGTCCCTGGCCTCCAGGAAGAGCAGGAGCCCCTGGGGGGGCTGGGACCGTGCGAGCTGCAGCGTCCCCCCCCCCCATTAGGGCCAGTCACAAATCTGCGGCCTGATGTGGTGACACCCTGCTGGGGAGAAGCAAGGTGGGGCCCAGGGGCACCGTGGAAGGAGGGACATGGGGTGTGAGGAGGCCACAGGGCCACCTCTGGGTGATGCACAGGAGGCCACCACAGGTAGGGAGGGATGTGCGTGTCCCCTGTAGAAGGGGCAGGCAGAGACCACCCTTCCTGCTGTCACCAGCGGCCTCGGCACCTCCCCTCCGTGGCTCAGGCCATGGGGGCCCACTGGGTGACACAGCTTTAGGGGTCCCCTGAATGCACCGCACACACAGCTCTCTCACAGAGAGACACACGACCACCACACGCATGAAGAACACACACACACACACACACACACACACACATGCCTGGGCGCCCCCCCACACCGGCCCCGCATGCCAGCGCCTCCATCACACCCCCACAGCTCACCCTGGCGAGGCTCACCACACACACTCCATACACACAATCGTGCACAAACAACCACGCACACTGTCCACAGCCCACTACCTCCGGCCCCTCCCCTCCCTTTCACTGTCCCCTGGGGCCCTGACGTGCCAACATCCCAGGCTCTACCTGCAGGGAGGGAGGGGACTGGCCCTCTTAGCACAGCCTGAGAATTGAGTTCCGGGATCTGGCTGCACCTCCCAGCCCCAATCCTGCTCCCCTGGGACCCCCACCTGCTTCTTCACCTCTCTGGTCCTTGTCCTAGGCAGATGGTCACGGTCCCCTCTGGGGATGGCCTGCCAGGGGCTGGGTGAAGTCTTCTTCGCCCGTTCTGTCTCAATCCTTGGACTTGGGGGACAGAGCTCTGCTCTGTGCTGTGCCAGGCCGTGAGAGACTCTGCTCCAACCCTGTGCCCTGGCTGCCGCCTCCCTGCCCTCCCGGTGGCCCTAACCTCACTAGCTGGGGTGTCTCTGGTGCCCTCTGGCCATTGGTCAGGACCCTCGCCTGGTCCTTGAGCTAAGTTCAGCAGCTCAGACCATGTCCCCTGCAGGGGGGAGGGCACAGATGCCTGTGTGACAGATGGGGAGACCCAGGCACCCCACTGCTGCAGGCTTGGAGGATGTGCCCTGGCACCACTCTGCCCGCCAGCTGGGTACCCTGGCACACAGCCAAGCCTCCCTGAGCCCCGTTATCCCTGAAAGGAGCACTGAATGCAGCTCGAGAAGTGCCAGACGGACCCCCAGCTGCTCCGGATCAGCACTGGGGTCTGCCTGCACTTGCTGAAACTGGTTCACACAAAACTAGGGGGCAGCCCTTCCAGGCCCRCCCTTCCCCAGTGCTGCTGAGGGCACCTGGGAGCCAGGGAAAGTGAAGGGCCGGAGCTCAGAGGTCAGGCATACCCAGGCGGGAGTCCAATTCTACCCCCTGCCAGCTGTGTGGCTCAGAGTAGGAGCCTAACTTCTCTGAGCTCAGGTTGCCTTGTCTAAGAAGTGGGAAGGACACCACCCAGTGCTGTAGTTCGGAATAAATACAATATCCTGTATGAAGGGATGAGCTTCTCCGGAGGTTTGACCCCTGTCCATGAAAACAGAATCAGACCCAGCTATGCGGGCAACTCGTGCAGTCAACACTAGGTAGGACTCTCCAAGGCCTGCCCTCCAGATGCTTAAACTTATTCTCTTTCCAAAAATGCTTAGGCCATTCCCCCTTCAGAAGGATGGGGCAGCTAGGTCCTCCCCACAAGTCCTTTGTGACCAGAGGCCACAGGGAGGTGGGGAGGTCGAGGGGCACTGGCTTGAGGCCAGACAGTGAAGCACTGCCTTTTCCTGCTGGTGACAGATGAAATGGGGGTCAGACAAGAAGTGGGGGCATGCTGGGGTGGAGTCAGGACAGGACCCCAGTCTGGCCCAGGAGGGTCAGGACAGCCTGGACGAGGGTGTTATTTGATGTGGAGAGTTCTTGGCCTGTGCCAGCTAACCCTGGCATTGACCATCTGGCTCAGGGTCTGGCTGGTGGACAAACCAGCAGGGAGGTGATGGGGAGGGGCCTTCCTGGAGCAGAGGGCAAGAGGGCAGCGCGCGGGGGTCTGTCCACCTGGCAAAGGGGCAGAGGTGGAGGGTCCGGCAGAGGTGGAGGGGGGAGCAGCTGGGAAGGAAGCAGGTGAGTGTGTGGGGACGGGAGGGCCAGAGTCAGAGGCGGCTGGGAGAAGACAGGGAAGACGGGAGGAAGAAGGGAGGAAGGGGAAGGCGGAAAAGAGGGAGGAGGAACAAAGGAGCGAGGAAGGAGCCAAGGAAGGACGGGGAGGAACAAAGACGGAGTAAGAGGCAGGGAGGGAGGGAAAGTGAGAGGACGAGCCGCGGAAGGAAGGGGACAGTCGCAAAAGAAACATTCGGAGAAAAACCAGGGTGGCGAGGGGAAGAGCGGGGGGCGCCGCGAGGGAAGGGAGGACCGCGAGCAGCGGCGAGGGCGACGGCCGGCGGCGGCGAGGGCGCGGCGGCGCGAGGGCAGCCGGCAGCGCTCGGCGAGGGGGCAGCAGAGGGCGCGGAGCGCGCGGCGCGGTGGGAGCGCAGCGGGCAGCAGCGGCGGCGGCGGGCGCGGGCCGGCGGCATGAGCGCGGCGGCGGCGGCGGGCGCGGCGCGGGGCTCGGGGCTGCCGGGCGGCGGGGCGGCGCGGGCCGCGGAGTAGGCGCGTGGGGCGGGCGCGCGGGGATGCGGCGAGCGGCCGGACCCCCAGCCCGAGCCCCGGCTCCCGCCCGAGCCCCGGTGCCGCGCTGCGCCGGGCGCGCCTAGAAGCGGGCGCCGTGCCTTCAGCGACCCGGAGCCGCGGAGCCCGGAGTCCCCGCGGCCCCCGGAGCCGGGACAACTGTTGCGGCGGCGGCAGCGGCGGCGGCGGGGGCGGGGGCACGGCCGGGCGTGGGCAGCCCCCGCGCCCCAGCAGGCGGCTCCCGCGGGCGCCGGCTCCGGGTGCGGAGCCAGGAGCGAGCCGGCGACGAGCACGAGGTGAGCGGGGGCGGCGCGGGGGAGGGGGCGCCGGGCGGGGGTCGCGACGGGGGGCGGGGCGGCGGGGGCGGGTCCGCGCGGGGGGCGGGGTCTGCGGCCGGGGCGGGGAGCCGGGTGCGCGAGCCGCGCGGGCCAGGGCGGGCGCTCCGGGCGAGGCGCGTCAGGTGCACTGGGTCCAGGGCTCTGGAGAGGGGCCGGGGACCACCAGCCGGAGTAGAGCAGGAGCCTGCGGGGCAGCCGGTGCCCAGGCGTTGGGGTCCGCTCCGGGGCTGGCCAAGGTGGGGATCGCTGAACCYGCGCGAGAGAGGAAGGGGCCTAGGTTGGAGGAACAGTCCGGGACGCACGGTGCAGGGACGCGGCAGCCGGGACCGGAATCCGCGTCCGAGGTGGGGACCAGCGTCCAAGGACCGAGTCCGGGAGCGCAGCCAGCCGAGCCCGGTGCGCGCCGGGCAGGGACCAGGCAGGTTCACGCTGCGGACCTGGCAGGTTCCAGGAGTCCCGGCTGGGCGGCGTGGGGGACGGGAAAAGCCCCCCAAGTGCGTGCCCCTCAGTCCCAGTCCGCCGCGTGGTCCCTGCGGAGCCACCGCCGCTTCCTGGTGCCGAATCAATATTGATCCCGCGCTCGGGGCTGGGTGGCCCGGCAGCCGCCTCGGAAGCTCATTAGCTCCAGCGGTTGCTATAGAAACGAGACCCCAAGCGTCTTCAGGTTATATTTATTCTAATTATTATTATCATTATTAGTATTAGTATTTGTTACTCAGCCGGAGAAAAAAGAAGGGAGGAGAAAAACCCAGGGCACCCAGCTGCCYCCAACTGTTTGCCTTGGGAGAGAGCGAAGCAGCTCGTGGGCCAGGCCGCTCCCTTCCCGGTGGCCCCAGGCATCCAGGCTGCCCCCCAACCAGGGGTCAGTGGGTGGGAAGGGGTTATGTAACCCGTGGGGAGAGCTGTGTGTGCCTGTGTGTCTTCCCTACCTCTCTGGGCCTTGTGGTCYGTGGGCTGAGTGACAGCTCCTGTCCAGACGAGGTTGGGAAGAGCCAAAAGTGACGGCAGGATTGCAGGAGTGCCCCTGCCCTGGCCCTGGCAGTGCTGGCCTTGTGACCTTGAACCAGGGTCTCGACTSCTCTGAGCCTCGGTTTCCTCATCTGAAAGAGAGCTTGATCCGGGCCATGCCCTCGGCCAAAGGTTGCTATGAGGTCACAGCAGGAAGTTCCCAGCCAGCCCTCAKGGCTGTGTGACCCCGACACCCCGCCTCCTCTGGACCTGTTCCTGGCCCCAGGCATGGGCTCAGAGGCCTTCAGTCCCCGAGGGCTTGTGACTTGACTGTGGAGGCTGAACTGTCAGCCGTTCAGACCCAGACTGACGGCCAGGTCCTCCTCTGTCACCTGGTTCCGACTGTCTCCAGCGCCCAGGAATGGGAGGGTCCAGGGGCCTTTGGGAAGGGCAGTCTCTGGGTAGGTCACGGGGGTAGCTGGAAATGTCACTCCGAACCTGGATCTGAACAACTCGGCCCTGGGTGTCAACCCAGGACCATCCCCTGCCTGTGGGACTTGCCCAGAATGGGGACCTGTCCCTGTCCCTCCTCCTCCCAGCATCGCGCCTCCCCAGAGAGGCTCCTCTCCTGGCTGGAGGGGGTGTCGAGCAAGAGGTGAMCAGAAAGTCCTGCTGCCCGGCCGCTCTGGCCCCGTGGGGCTGCAGCTGAGAGCATCGGGCAGGGGCTTTGGCCAGTGTCTTTGATGTCACTGTCTCCCTGGTTCGGGCTCTGTCCCAGGCATGTGAGAGGCCCTGCACTGACAGGGCAGGTGAGGGAGGTGAYTCGGGGGCGCGAGTGTGTATGAGTGTCCCTCTCCTGGGCCACCCAGCCTGGAGCTCACTGGGGCAGCTGGACTGAGCTGGAGGTGGAGGGGCTGGGGCTGCTCCAACCTTTGTGGGTGGCCCTGGGAKGGAGAGCCGCCTGGAGCCCCGTCCTTCCCCGCCCCTGCCTCGCTGCCTGCTTCAGCAGGGCCCTGGGCCTGCCCGGGGCGGGMCGTTCTTGAGGAAGTGGGTGAGGAAGGGCGGGTGGCATGCCTGGGGCCGGCCACGTGGCATGGGGCACCCTTGGGGGCACCTTTCCTGTGGAGGGTGGGTGGAACCGGCAGGAGGGGCAGCTTCAGCCAGGGGACAGGAGGGGTGCGGCCTAGAGCTCCGTGCACAGTGATACGCAGAGGCCATGCCCTCCTGGCCCTGCAGGCCCGAGAGCCAGGGGAGGGCGCGCAGCTGGGGCAGCCTGGAGCAGGGACCCCCAGGCTGGGYGAGGGGTGGCTGGAGAGCAGGTGGGCAGGGAGGGGCCAGGGGCTGGCAGCGGCAGAGGGCATCTGGTCCCCGCTCTCTAGGGAGTCCTCAATCCTCAGCCACCCCCCCACCCCTTGGAGCACATCATCGGGGAGGGGAGAGGGCTGCCCAGGCTTGGGCTTCCAGGGGCGGGGCCGGGGACCCCAGGTCTGGCTGCTCAGCCATCCTGGCCACAGAGGACTTTGTTTATACGGCACAGCTGCGCCCCGCTGCCATGGGCTGCCCTGGGCAGGGAAGCCCAAAGGCCACCCAGCCAAGGGCTGTGGGGAGTAGAGGCAGAGACCCCGCGCCTCACCTGACCCCCGCGCCACTGATTGTGTTGCACAGAGAAGCCGAAGCCGGGAAGCTGGCTCAGGAGGTGGGTGTGAACACCAGGCAGGATCTCATGGCCCCACCGCCACCGTATTGCTGGGAGCCAGGGCCGGCACCCATGGTAAGGTGGAGGCTCTGCGGACACTCACCACTAGTCATAGTCCTGTTTGTCTTCCTCTGAACTGACCCAGAGTCTTACCCTTAGAGGAAAGATTTCACCTCCTTGCTTAGAGAGGCACTGTCTCTGTTAATTCAGCCTCTGTGGCTTTCATTTCTGTCCAGTTGATTCACACAACAGATTTACACTGGTCTTAGAATGGACTCTGTGGCTCTCCCCAGCTGTTCTCTGTGGAAGTAACTGAAACTGATCTATCACCAATTCCTAAAACAGTGGGGCTCCTTTTCTGACCATCCTCTGTAGGGCGCGGTCCTGGACACCTGCAGCCTGAGGGTGAGGAGAGGCACGTGCTCCTGGGGAGAGGGGGGTGTCCCAGCTCTGTAGGTGCTGCTGACCCTGCCTGGGGCCTGGCAGGGGGGCCGCTCTTCCTGCCTCCCTCCCCGCCCTCCTTCCTGCAGCAGGGCTCTCCTCGGCCTGCTGCCCGTGGGACCCCTGGGAGGCCGAGGGGACCCCGTGACTGCCTGTCGGCCCCCGGGCAGCTTCCTGCCTAGACGCAGCCAGAGGAGGGCACCCGGGGCACCCGCTGGAGGACGTGTGAAGGGACCCTGCTCCTCGGCAGCTCTGGAGGCCCCTCCCAGCCCTGCGCCACCCCCACCTGCTGTGAGGAGCCCCTCCCTCCTTTGCTCTGGGTCCTGGCCAGGTTGGGAGTGTGCGGGGACCTTCCTGGGTCCCTCACTGGRAGCCCTTCACCACAGCCCAGGGCCAGTAACTTGGGGACATGGGGCCCCGGAAAGTACCGGGAAAGCACGGCAGGGTCGGGGTCCTCAGCCTGGGAGCCCTGCCCCCTGGCCAGTCTGGGGGCAGGACAGAGGGAGACAGGACACAGCCTCCCGGGCCTTCTGCGGCCTCTGGGAGGCGGCCTGCAGCTCCTGCTCAGTTCCACGTGCAGATGGGGACACCGAGGCCCAGARCAGGCTGGGGATGCGTCAAGGTCACACAGCAAACTGGGCGCCCTTGAGGGCAGAGGACGCCCCACCAGACAGGGTGGGTGCTGTCCAGGGGCCTCAGGCCTGGGGTTGGAGGGGCAGACACTCCTGGTGGCCGGGGAAAGCAGCCGGCGCTCAGCCCAGAGCCCCCAGGGCTCCCTCCCTCAAGTCCTGCACATGCCGCCGGTTCCGGGGCTGGTGAAAGGAGCACCTAGCGGGGCGGGCGCCCATCTGTCGCCGGTGCTCCCCCAGCAGATGCACGCACGCGCCCCGGAGAAATCAAGAAATAATGCATGAGTTTCCCAAATCACACCGTTTAACCCGGAATTAAGCTCTGCACGCTCCTAGCAGAGCCCTGGGAGGGAAAGAATTTTTCTCTGCTCACACTTCCCTGGAAAACGAGAGAAACCCCGATCTTCCAAACCCAGCTCCATCGTCGGATCATCCCCCCYGGGCGCAGTGCCCCGGCAGCCTGGGGACGGCCGCGGAGTCGGTCTCCTGCGCCAGGTTCTGCGGCTGCCTGGCCGCGGGCGGGCGCCCCGGGTTTGCTTTCCCTTTGGGCTCCTTCCCCGGCGGAGGACCTGGTGTATAGACCACAGGAAACGTGGGCAGCTTCTCTTCCTGGCCTGTTCCCCGCACCTGTCGCCTGGGGTCGGGGCCAGGCCCAGGGGACAGGAGGGACCATTTGGATGGAACAGTCTGGCAGTGGAGAGGGGCAGGGGGACCCAGGAGAGGGGCGGGAGGGCTTCCTGGAGGAGGTGGCTCCAGCTGGGGCCTGGCGGGGTGGGTAGGGCGMGGTCTCCCAGGAGCAGCTGCAGGAAGGGTGCGTCTAGCAGGGGCGTGGCCTCCAGGGCGCTTCAGATTTCAGGTGGTGGCTCCCGGTGGCTTCTCAGGCTCTCCTTAGCTGGCCACCTGGGTCAGGCTGCCCGATTCCCTGAGGAGAGCCGAGCGGGACAGCAGGGAGGGGCCGGAGTCAGCCGGGGTGGGGGCGGAGGCCTCTGGCCCAGGAGCCCCCAAGTGGGGGCCTTCCGCGGAAGAGAGACCAGAGCCCTGGACTCCGACTCCAGCGTCCAGGGAGCCCCCCCTCGCCCCCCAGCCTCACTCCTCAGCTGCCGTAGGCCTGGGCTCTGGGACGTGGGTCCTGCTGATGCCCAGCCCGGGCTGGGCGCCGAGCCTGCCCTCTGCAGCCACAGAGGGGTGGCCAGGGCTCTCTGCACCTCAGGGGCTGCGTCCTCAGGAGCCCCCAGGCCTGGCCTCAGCCCCACCGAGACCAGGGCCTCCGACGGCCGCGTCTGTGCTGTTGAGGGTTTGGGCTTCTGGAAGCGTTGGGGACGTGCCATCCCTGTGTCGCTGCCGGTGTCTGCCCCGGGGAGGAGAGGCCTTCGGGGAATGAGCCGAGCCACTGAGCTGGGCCCACCGCCAGGGCAACCGCCGAGGGAGGCCGGGGCTCATCTCCCACGGGGTGCGGGGCTCCGCCTGCACAAGTCCCCCCTCCGCCTGCCCCTTACTCTGCGACTTGGGCAAACTGTGTGAC